ATTTAATAAAAAATTAAATAATAAATAGTATTAGTGTTACAAGTCATCAAAAAAGTAAAAAAACGATCATTTGAAACACGTCCTCTCTGCTACAGGTTCTCAGCTTTTATATACTTCCAGAATCGTCTCAACAGCGAGAGAAGTAACTTTCGCCACCTAGCGGTGAAAGTATAGGAGCGACAGTAATCTTTAACATTACTAAGGAAACCATGTGGAATACCACGTAGGATTCCATGTGGTTTCCTACGTGGGGATTTACATGGGATTTTACTTAGGAAATCATTTGGGAATTTATTTCTACTTAAATTCCTAAGTAAAATCCCATGTAAATCCCCACGTAGGAAACCACATGGAATCCTACGTGGTATTCCACATGGTTTCCTTAGTAATGTTAAAGATTACTGTCGCTCCTATACTTTCACCGCTAGGTGGCGAAAGTGACTTCTCTCGCTGTTGAGACGATTCTGGAAGTATATAAAAGCTGAGAACCTGTAGCAGAGAGGACGTGTTTCAAATGATCGTTTTTTTACTTTTTTGATGACTTGTAACACTAATACTATTTATTATTTAATTTTTTATTAAATAATTTTTAATCCTTTGAAAATTTCTTCATTGGATCTTTAATAAAATACTATGTGATATCTCATTAAATCCTAGGTGAAATCTTGCATGAAATCCTATGTCAATTCCCATATAAAATCCTATGTGAAATCCCTTGTAAAATTCCAAGTGGATTTCCATGTAGGGATATTCAATAAGGCGGATAATGTTTTTCACATGGGATTTGGTTTAGCATTTGACATGGGAAAATCATTATAAATAAATGATACTGTTTTTCACTTGGGGATTGACTTGGGAAAATAATTATAAATAAATGATACTGTTTTTCACATGGGATTCGGTTTAGGATTTGACTGGGAAAAACATGTGGGATTTGGTATGGTTTTATGCATAGATGAACTGTTCAAATTCCCCATGTCTATTCCTAACTAAAATCCTGTCTCAATTTCCCATATGGTTTGACATGGGAAACCACATGGTAAACCACGTGGTTTCCTTCATGCAAGTAGGGTTTTACATGGTTTTTGACATAGAATCCCATGTGGTTTCCCATTTGGTTTCCCGTATGGGGATTTTCAATAGGGAATTAATTAAATTTTACAAAGATGTCAGAGTTTAAACTGTGTAAAAATTTGAAAAAAATTAATTCCGCTCGGTACATATACATTTAACCTTCGAAATTCTTGTAAAATTGAATAATTATCCCAAATTTTCATGAATTGCCCATTTTAATGTTTACAGGTAATAATGGGAATAAATCCTATTATTTGAAAAAAAATTTACCATCATAAAACTGAGAAATTTTTCTTTTAAAATCACTAATAGTAAATAAATTTTGGCATTAATAAATAAGATAAATAATTATTTAAAAAATTGCTTCACAATGATAATTGTTTATAAGGTGGTTTGTTTTGAAATAAAATTTCAGATATAACATTATTTCGTGCACTTTCTCTACACTTTTGCGTTCTCGCTAGATTTTGTACTTTGTTTAAGTGCGCATGCTCCGTTTTACACTCTTGTTACACTCGAGTGTAGCAGTGTACACTGTAAAAAAATCTGCTGTAAATTTACTATGTCCGACGTTGGAAAGTTTGGTCACTATGTCCGACGTGGTATTTTTACACGCCGACTGTAATCTACATAACCTGCAAATATTTTTTGAAATAATATTTTCAATCGTAACTTTTTGTATTTATGAAATATAGCCCAAAACTTTTTGTTATATTATTATTTACTTATAAATTAGCATATACTTTCTATAAATGTACATTATATACACTTTTTTAGAGTTATTTATAAAAACTTGAAAATTTTTTGAAAATCTTAAAGGAATAAGAAAATTACATTCGCCATGTAATTGTACAGATCGTGCGACGTAATATTACGTCAAAGTGTAGAAATACACGCAATGTAAAAATACCACGTCGGACATAGTGATCAAATTTTCCTACGTCGGACGTAGTAAATTTACACAAAACTATTAAATTACATAGTCGTATAATGTAAAATTATTAAAAATAGTAAAACTACTTTTGGAACGAAATAAATTTACTACGTACAACCTATAATTTTGATGTGTGAAATTACAAGTTTCGTGTTATTTTACACCAGATTTTTTTACAGTGTAGCTAGCGAGAACAAACCTGTGTAAAGGCGCTAGCACAGATCCTACTGCCTGCCTGCAGGTTGACATGGTAACACATAGGAGTAAGAGAGTAAGAAAATTCAAATTAAATGTTTTTTCTCTCTCACTCTTATGGCGCCTGCCTGCGCAGGCAGGCAGGCAGTGAGGTGAGAGCAAGAAGACTAGAGACAGGAGGAGCAACTTCGATATATTCCTGTAGAGTGCGGTGGCAAAAAATGTGAGGGCAATGGAGGTGGTACTTGAAAATGTAGTTCGTGCAATAGGCCAAAATTAGGTTTCTGCGCATATTGAACATTCAAACGATTCAGATTCAAACACGCGCTAAAAGAAATCTTTTTCCACGTGCTGCACATTGTCATTGTGTGATATTGTGTTTACCGCAAAGTTTTTATGAAAACAATTTAAGTTGTTTTTAATTACCTACTACGTATTACAACTAATTTTCCAAGGTTATTTTTTAAAGTTATGAAATAAACGTCCACCTTCTATCAATATAATATGAATACAAACCAAGGTTTTTTTTGAGGTTATGAAATAAACATCCAACTTTTATCAATACAATTATTAATAATTTCTAATATTTTTTCGACATTAGTTTGGGATTGCAATTTATCAAATTTCTTTCAGTTTACTACCTTATTATGACGATGAATTTCAAAGTCAAAGAATCATAATCGTTAAAATAACCTCTTCATAATATAATATATGACATTTCTATGTTTTGACGTCTGCTATTCTCTCTCATCTCTTTCCACTACTTGCGCAGTAACCTATTTTGCGTTTCTGCACCAACTACATTTCTATATTACTACTTCCCCCATTGTCCTCATCTACCAAGCCATCCCCACTACCCGAGTTATCCCTCCTGTCTCTAGTCTTCTTGGGTGAGAGTGTACCTTAAAGGCGCTCGCACAGCTCTACTGCCAGCATGAGAGTAAGAGAGAAAAAACATGAAATTTGAATTTTCTGACTTACTTACTCTCATGTGTTACCATGACAACTATGCATGCATTGGCATGCATGCAGAGCTGTGAGAGCGTCTTAAAGCATACACTGCTCGTTTGGCGCGAAGTTTAAATTTAATTAAACTTATATAATATAATGTAATATAATATTATATTTATTATATTATATATATATTATTATACATTATATTATGCAATATATTTTCTTCTTAAATGTAAAATTATTTTACTTAAAATTAAATATTTTATGATGTATACATAAATAATATTTTTAAAAGCAAAAAATTTGATATTTTTATTAGAATTTTAAAATCTTATTCGGTCAATGTTTTGATATAGCAGAATTGTTATGGAGCACTCACAGCTCTGCCTGCCTGCGCAGGCAGTAATTGAAGTAAGAGAGAAAGTCAATTAGAGTGAAAGAGACAGTAAATTCAAATTTGTATGCTGCCTACTAGCTGTGAGTGCGCCTTTAATCACAAAATTATCAAATAATATTTCTGATATAAATTTTGTTCACACTATTTGACATTTTGAACTACTAACAACAACAATAATAAAATAAGTGAAAAGGTTATTTCTTTGAGACCAAATAATTACTTTATAATGAGTATTTTTATTTAAATATTAAAAATATTGAAAATTATTTACTGTTTTTATTAAATATTAAAATATTGAATGTTAGTCTTTCTCTAAATACAAAATTCATTATAAAAAACATAATTCGTCTTCACTACTATCGCTAGAGGTGTCAATTAAATCTGTTAGAAGTGAAATTTTTAAATTTGCCGCTTCTCTTGACATTTTTTTAAACTGCACTAACAAAATTGTGGGAGCAAATTTTGTTGCATCTTTCGATCCTTGAGGGTGCACACTTCTTAATTCGAACACAAATAACGATCTGCGCCGGAGCAGTGCTGCCAAAACGAATACTCGAAACGATCTGCGCCGGAGCAGTGCTGCTAAAGCGAATACTCCAAACGATCTGCACTAGAGCACATTTGTCAGACCGAACATGCTACTCCTGCTCTGGGCACTCCGAGAGTGCTCCGGTGCAGATAACCGAATTCGCTATAAGAATTCCTGGTGACACGTCATCACGCTGATACATGATTGGTCAATATTTTAAGCGCAAAATTTTAAATTTTGTTTATAAGCAGCCAATATTTTTTGTTTTAATTAAAAATTCAAATATTACAGATGAAATTTAAGTTAGACATGAAACTGTTATAAATAATTTATTAAACTTAAAAGTTTGATGAAAAATAGGAAATTTTTTCAATTTATACAAATTTGCTAATAACATTGTAAATTTTGCAATTACATTATTGTTTACTTTATTTGAATCTGTGATAAAGTTATTAGTATGTTGATTCAATGATCTTTTATAATTAATGTAGTATTTAATAGTGTGCTTGAATTATTTTCTAAGCCACACAAGATATTTAATTGTGTAATTAAATGAAAAACCCTTAAAAATCCCAATGACTGTACGGACTGTACGATAAAATCTAACCCTTTACTTTACTTTGCACACTGATGCCAGCGCGCTCTACGGCTCTACTCTACTGTAAACTTCTGGATTTTTATAGTAATTTTTCTCTAAGATATTGGCATTAAATGGTATCATTTGTAGCTTCATAAAAACATTTTACGACTTGAATTTATTAGAAAAATGTCTTATTTCTTAAGCAAATGCCATTAAGATGATTTGAAATTTTCGACTCTTTTCCATTTAATTTATGTAATTGACATTTATCAAGTTAACGATTATTTTGCCACTTTGGCGACAATTGAGAATCCTCTTTCGGGAATTTATGAGCTGCACTAATGGCAGCAATGACAAATACGTGATGGCCGTTGCCACCGATCAGAAAACGCGTACACTGGATTATCATTCATACAGACCCTTTTTCTGTTTACTTTAACAAATCTCAAAATACACGTGTCAAGTGTATTGTGACTCTTAGACTAAATATAAAGTATTAAAAGACAAACGTGATTAACGAGGTGAAAAGTGAGGATAAACTGCGTTAAGTGTCTGGACAACAGGGGTTGCTAAACCGCGTTCACGGAGGTAATATCGACGATTTTTCATCGAGACGCTAAGCTCATTTGATTAAATGGCCTAAAATTTAAAGTGTTCAAGTGTCTCCTAATTGATTTCCAGGATTCCAACAAGCAAATATCCTGGCGAAAGCTCATTTTTCTTTTGTTTACGCCTTGTCACTTGTGTTTTTGTTGTGTGCAACCGCGCGCGGCTGTCTTAGTGTATGTGTAGGCCTATAAATGTGAGCCTCAAGTGTAAAGGTTTATTTGTATGTGTGACTCATACAACGTACATTTTAAGGGCGCGCTCGAGCGCGCGTGAAACTTATAACCTCAAAATTTTCCAGCTTCCAGCTGTCTATTAGACAAAAGCGACAAAAGCAAGCCTGAGTAAGTTATCTTCTTTATTCTAATAATAAACTTTTCAACTTTTCGACTTACTTGTTTCAAACACAACATGCGAGAAATAATTTTAAAACGCTTTGCACTACTTTCAGTTCACTTACCTATTTTTCGGCTTTTAAACGCCAAACATTTCGTCTTTCACGATTTTACATCATTAGAAATGTAGGCGGTTCATTATTAATTTTAAAAGATGACAAAATTATACTTGCACTGTTTTCATTTGCTTTTGCATAAAGTTTATTTTGACGTGCATTGTGATTCCAAAATAACAAATGCTACAACTCTTTTCATGATCGACTACGCTGGTTGCATGTAGAAAGATGAGATGAGATGTTATTTCCTTCCAATTTTTCGCATGAAAGTAGTTTATAAGTTTTTTATACGCTATTAATTGTTATTAATTTTATGGCAGAAATAGAAGGTTTATTTAAATTATTCTCGTTAGCAGAATTAGCCAATTCAGTAAACTAATTCATTTTTCTATATTAACTTACCTTTTACAGTCAAATCTAAATTTTAAAATACGAATATGTATTTTCTATTTCAGTGCCTAAATTAATCAAAAACATCCTTTCTATTTAATAATTGTACTTCTTCGTACTGTAATTATTTATTGTATTGCTGTTCCTTTTTCGAAATTTTCTTATCGGTTTCTATGTAAATTCAATGCTAAATATCTGAAACTTTCTTTCATAACAAATCTATCGACCTAATTTTATCTTTTATCTCTGATACTATTAAAAGAAATTTCGTTTATGAATGTTTAAAGAACGTGTAAGATATAGTAATCATTAATGAGACATGTCACTAAGTAATATTACAAAATTAACTCTTAAAGAAATCTAGCGTTAAACAATATTACACAATTTGTTGTAATACATTTTTCTTCTTTTGTTACAGAAATCGAGTGAACCGGAATTGCCACTTTTATTATGTTTCAAGTTAATTTTTTCTGATTCAAAACTTGAAACAATGCCAGCCAATTACTTTTGGCTCCTGGATTTGGGGTAAATTAGAATCCAGGCAAAAAGAAAACAATCCCCCAAGCATAATACTAATAATACAATCAAAGGATTTGCAAGGAATAATTTAAATTTATTATAAATGGAACAAGTTTTTGAGCAAATGAACTTGAGAAAGAAATTAGAAAATGTTCGAAACTCAATTGTACACTTATTTTTTAATGGCTAATTCACTTCATGGAGGAGGACGTACGACATAGAAAAATTTAATAACATGCGAGAGTGTTTAATAACAATTAATATTTGTGCACTACACGTGAAGGAAATCGTTGATTCGAAAAGGAAATGTTACATATAATGAAAATTAATTGAGTGAGATCAGAAATTACATGCATGTCAGGATCAGGCGACGTTGGTCGAAAACGCGTTGAATGGCGTCGCAACGCAAATATCAATTTGTCAATTACATTAATATTCAATATCGCTTTAAGGTAAAAGTAAATTCAGGAAAGGGTGTTTTCTATTTGTACCCACTTGCGGTTTCATTCAACGCTCTAACATTTCGCAGATTTAAACTCGTGCCAATTTGGATATAATAAGGAGAAAGAAAACGGTGGCCCAACGCTGCCCATAGTTGCGAGGTGCTGCGTGGGCATGCAGCAGCCTCAGTCACGCCCTCTTCTCGGGGACTCTGTATCCTCTACAACATCCCCAAATACACGTCGCAATAATCCCGTTGCAGTTCTTACACAACAGCAGGTCACAATTCTTTCATTTTCTTTCATCTTTTTTCATCTTTTTTTCACCTCTCGGTGAAAGCTGTGGATATTAAAGTAGTATTTATTATTTTCCAGCTTCAACAATTGCAACAGCTTCAAACTCACAATTCCACAGCTCAAGCAGTAGCATTTACTTTGCAACAGCCTTCAAATAACGTGAGTATTTCAATAATGTGAGCTTTCACATGAATCATCGAGGAAATGTTTCAACTTTCACTATTTTCTTTCCAGAATCAGGAGCAGCCAAATGGAACAGCAAGTGGAAGTCACATAGTTTACTTAAATCAACTGAATCAGTTGAATCAGAGTCCCATTAATTCCTCTGGGACTGGCATGGGCCTATCCCCGGCCACCCCCACATTTGGGGTGGGCCTTAATATGGGACTGCCGCTATCGTTATTGAACACCAGCCTCACATCGCTTACTTCGAACGTAATCACAACTTCGAATCCTTTGCTCAATCTAAGTCTCCCGAGTTTAAATTCAGGCCTAACGGCAATTAATCCTAGTATAAATCCTTTAAACGCTCTAAATTCTAATCTTAACGCGAACTTACCACCGGACAGTATTACCAATGGAATATCGAGTTTAGGTCAAGAGTTGAATGGAATAAATGCCGGTTTGAGTCGACTTAGCGCATTGAATTCCACCAGTCTCAATCCAGGTGTATCGAGTGTCAATCCAAATTTGACAAATTTGAGTCAAACATTGAATCAAAATCTTGCCACCCTCAATGCAAATTTAAGCGCTACAAATTCTGCAGCTACTAATTTAAATACTCTCAATACTAATATAAATGCAAACTTATCAACTGGCAATTTGAATCAAGGAGCGAATCGTTCGTTGAGCGCGTTGACGTCGAATAATTTCAGTGCCGCGTCTCAATTTCCATTTCAAACCATACAAAATATCGCGCCACATATTGTTGGTTCAAACATTGCTTCCGTACCAAGTTCAGCCATATCACAACACCAAAGCACAAATATTACCAGTTCACAAATATCAACGGGCGCAACGTCGAGTTGCAGCACATTCACGAGTACATGCAGTGGACCAATCCTTGCCACCACAACAAACACAAGCCATGGAACAAGTGTGACGCATCCAATAAATGTTGCGCAGTTTGGAATTATGACCTCAAATCTCTCGAGTGTCGTCACATCTCACATGACGTCGAATGAATCGAATCACACAGCTGGATTTCAGAGGCAATTCTCACACATACCGAGCTCACCATTGAGCTCAACGACGCAACTCACGGCTGGCAATCCAACAACAAACACAATCATTCCAAATATCAAATCAATGCAAAATCAAAACACAGGGTCACCCGGGTCGCCGTTTTCGATACCAATGAAGAGTCCAGCTTCGAACATTGCGCCACCAACACCGAGTCCGAGTCCAAATCGATTGCTACTGAGGAGTCCGGCATCGAATTCAATGCAAAGCAATAGGAATAGTCCGAGTCCAGTGTCGTCGTCAACGCCGAATAATTCATTTGGAATGCAACTTCATAGTCCAATGCAGAGTCCCATTAGTCAAATTCAGAGTCCCGCGCCTAGTCCATATCCAAATTCAAAGAGTCCCCATCATCTTGGAGGCGGTGGTGGCGGATCGCTCAGCAATAGAAGTCCTGCACCTGGAAGCAGTCCTGGTCCACCAGTTGTAAGATATTCATATTTCATTTACTGTCACGAAAATCTACAAGATATCAAATTGCTAAAATAATTATTTAACCAACATTTTTCTTTTAGAAATTCCAAACTTTTTTCATTTAACAAGGCTTTTTATTGTCATCTATTTCTCACTAGATGGTATTTTATATTCAAATTCAATGTGATTTTTACATAGAGCTTCAATGGAAAAGTACCATCTTCCTTTACATCCCCTTCGAGTTCTGAACGTTATAATAATAATGTGGATTATTGATGAATGAATTGTTTGAAATAGCAATTTTTCTTTTCAGGTGCGACCAAACACCCCAATAATTCAACAAGGGATGCAAGTCTTGCAAATAATACATGGAACTCCACAAGGATATCAATCGGCGCCAGCTCAGCTTGTAACAAGAACTCATCTCTTTGGCAATCAACAAATTCAAATTGCTACAGCTAAACCGGCGAAACAACCGCCGCAAATACTACCGAAGCCTCCTCATCAGCAAACTGGCATTTCACAGCAAAAGCAACGAGTTACAACAACAATTACAAATCAAGTGAGCCAAGTATGTTTATCAATAATTCTACAATCAATTTATTTCAATCTTTATTTCTTTCAATTTGATTTTATCCATAAAAACAGTCATTTTTTTAAATGTTTAAAAGTAATGAGCAAAATTTTATTACAATGATCAGGATATCATTAAAATGGCAATAATAATTGGAATAGATGAATAACATAGAAAAATTTGTAATTTTTTTCTGAAAGGTCACGCAGCAGTCGCAACCGCAAATTGTATTAGCTGGTCCACAACCTAGTCCTGGAACTGCAACAATGATTCCCACTGCACAAGGTCTTCTTTTAAACCAGGTCTTCATTTTTAATTCTTCTTTATATAACTGTTTAACGCTTACAACAAATCATCGAGCTTTCATTCTCATAGTTCGCTTCTCTTCATTTTTTTTTCTTTTTCTTATTTATAATAGCTGGCTTTATTTCTTTTTCTAACATTATCAAAAATAATTATTGGTCGCATTCTTATCGGGGAATTTTTCTTTATTTCAAGTTGATGACTTTTTGCAAAGTTTTATTAGAATTTGCCAATAATCGAGTGAACACATATTTCAATTTTTTCATTACTCTCAACTAAAATATAAATTTCATTTAATTTCTTCTTTAAGTAAAAATGAAATGCACATGTTTTTTTTACATTTTAAAGTATTTTTATCTTATATATTAAAAGTATATAGTGTACTTTATTAGTTTTGAAGTCATGTACTTTTTTTTATTTTTTAAAACAAGTTGAGAAATTCTTTTTGTTAATATTTCTTTCTCTTTGCATTAAAAAAGCAAAATGACTGAGAGGTGTTTATTATATTATCGAGAGAAACCTCTTAATCGTTTTTCCTTTTTTTCACTGGGTTTGGTACTTAGGTCCTGCCATCCACTGGACCAGTAATCGTTCAACAACAACCGGGTGGCGTTCAACTGATTCTTCGAGCACCAGCAACTTCTCAACAACAAACGCATACTGCACAGGTGACGGTTTCACCCATTCGCACACTATCATTTTTATCACTGTTTAAAAACTCATTGTGGGAAGCAAATGGCAGTCAAGTGTTTTCATGAAACTCATCAAATTTGTAAATTATCACCCACATCATGTTTGTTTTTTTCGATAATCATTCAAGTTGAATTTCATTTAATTTACTTCTGTTTTGTCCACCTATGAAAAAATTGGTCTTTTTTGCATTTTCGTTCTAAGCCTTTTTAAAGTTTCTAAAAATAAAAAAAAAATTTACAGTTAACGCAACAACAATTGGTGAGAGTTGTCACTGCGCAAGGTATGCAATTGCAAGGACTTGCTCCAACATTCTTTGCTGTGCCGAATGGTTTTCCTTCGCCGAGTCCTCCAGTTATAAGGCATACACCTTCTAGTCCTGCACCAGGTAAACATCTCAAATTCAAAGTTCTCAATAAAAATGTAAACGATTTTCTTAAATTGAGAAATTGTCTTACAAAAACTCTGTAATTTACAATTTCAGATTGTATTAATTTTGCAACAAATTCCGGCAACAACAATTCAATAGTTATTCAAAATGCGATGGTGCAGAATCCCCAAACCCAATTAACGCAAGCAACCACTGCTAGTAACACGACTAATGTTCAAAATGCACAGACGATAATTGATCAGAGTTTATTGCCACCTCCAAAAAAGAAAGCCAAGAAGAAGAAGAGACCTAGGAAAAAAGATGAGGAACCAACAAAATTGGATTTGGCCAGCATCATAAAAATATCCGGCATCAATGATGATGATGATATTTTTGAAAACGATCTCACGACCGAATCGGAAATAGCGCCTCATACACAAACAGAAACGAGTCCCGTTGTTCCGACCACGTCCTCTCAAAATGTGATACAAGTACCTGCAACGAGTATGTCGCAAACGTCGCAACATTCTGACAGTCCCCTGATCGCTCAGCTACAAATGCCCGTGCAAAATACCATTTCCGGACAATTGCGATTGGCAGTGGGCGAAGATGGAAGAGTCGTTCTTCATCATACCCCAGAACCGAACCAGCCGGAAATCGATCAAGCCACTGCTCAAGCCTTGATAAGATCCTTAACTCAAGGCGGTGGACAAAATTCACAATTCATCTCGCAAATTCTCGGCCAGACTCATGTTGTTCAAACAATTCCACAAACAACTCCCAGTCCAACTCCGAGTAGACAGAAATGTACCAAGTCACCAGGAGTCCAACAAAATCGAATCACAAGTCCAACAACCTCAACACCACAATTCATTCATGTCAATTCAACAACTCCAAGTTCGACAATCACCACTGCTAATTGTTCCCAATCCACAAATCTTCATTCCCTCTCAACTCCCCAACTAAGTAAAGTGTCGACTGTTCAGTTTTGCAAAAATAGCGTTCAAGCTAATAATGAGACAAAGACTCCCACTTCGAAGACACTAAACGTTAAATCGCCAGCTCACCAGAATGTTCAACACGTGAAATGCAGTCAAGTGAGGATTCGCAACACCTGCGTGGCTGGGACACCCCGTCAAAATCACATTAAAGTAACCCAACAAAATATTCAAACCCAAAAAACTCTGCAATGCGGCACATCAGTTCAACGACTCGTGAAGAACAGTCAAAACGTCCAGCAAATCAATATTCAAGAGGAACAACAATGTACTCAAACTCAAAATGTTCAACACATTTTTGAACAAAACATCGGAGCCAGCAATCAAGCACTCCAACAAAATTCTACCGACAATATGCAAATTGATTCAGTGAATGTCATGCAAAAGAACGCGAGATCAATTCAACAACAAGCTATAAACGTTCTACAACAAGATCTCAGTTGTATTCAGAATGTTGATCAAAATTTACAATTTGACATTCACCCGGGACAAAGCGTCATTCACGGTCACAATTTACTTCAAGGTCCAACTGTCATTCAAGGACAGAATGTTATACAAGCTCCGAATTTAGTTCAAACTCAAAATGTCATTCAGGCTCCAAATTTAATGCCGAATTTAGTTCAAGGACAAAATGTAATTCAGGGGCAGAATTTAATTCAGAGTCAGAATATAATTCAAAATCATGTTGTGCATCAAAATCAAAATATCCATCAGAACCAAAATATTCAACAGAGTGGACAAAATGTGAATCAACGGAAAAAATCCACTACCCCTGTTAATGTACAGCAATTTGAAAATCAACAACAGCATCATCATCATCATAATTTCCAACAGCAAAACATATTGATTTCAAACAGTGGTGTCAATCAACAGGAGCAAAAGCACGATCCACTTATATCTGCGAATTCATCGTCGAATGTATTAAATAGTGCTCCAAAAATAAGTCCTGAGATTCTGAGTGCCTTGAGTAATCTTAATCCTAACGATCAATTACTTATTGCGAATTCAAATGGACAAATGCAGGTGATCAGTCAACAATTGTTTCAACAATTTTTGTCGGGCCAGTTGCACGCGACACAACCCCAAAATCAGAATCAAAATTCAACGCAAAAAATCGTTATTGGTGAGCCTGACGCGAGCAATCAGAATCTCCAAGGATTACAGATTAATACACCCACGAGTCAAATTATCGTTAATAGTTCAGGTGGAGCGCCAACTATTCAAAATAATATTCAAAACATTGTCGTACAAGCAGCGCCATCGCAAATGCCGCATCAAATACAAATTCAAAATTCAGGATTCCCGAGTCAATTTCTTGATAATTTGAATCAACAACAGATTCGCAATTTGGGCAATAATCAACAGTCGAATCCAAGTCCAGTTCCGAAGAAAGCTAAAGTTGTGAAAAGAGCGAAAGTTGTTACTTTAACCCAAAGCACCACAAATGCACAGGTAATTTCTTCCAATCTTTTTCTTTAAATGTAGATTTCTTATAACAATATATATATATATATATATTAAAAGTCTACACTTTGTTCAAAAATTCTAGTCATAATCACTCAAAATAATAATTATTATTATTATTCTACAATCTATTAAGGTTTTGCATAAAATAAAACGATTCCATTTATTTTTTAAGAACATATCACAACACTTTTTCAAAATTCATTGTTCTGCTAAAATTAACATAATTCTAAAGGTAATTTAAATTTTTTAATGTTTTTGGACTTAAACTAAAAAGTCATCACTAACAAACAGTATGTGTGATAATTTTTTAATATAGGCAACAGTAGAAATAATTAAAACCGAAAAACAAATTTAAACAAGTGCGCAATGAAATGACGGGTTTTTTTCAAAAATTTTCTTAAATACATTTTTTGTGATCAGCCTGTAAAAATACACTAGTATACCATTATTACATAGCAAGTTATCTATATTTTTTCTGTAATATTCGCGTAAAAATACACAAGAATGCCAAATTTTAGCTCTCCATGTTAATAGTTTAGAAGTTAAAATACTCGTCAAAATTTTTTCAATTATCTTTAAAAATAATTAAATTCTTCCCCACAATTCAATTATTTTCAAAAATTTTAATAAAATTCTTGGCAAAATTTCAATTATTTTCAAAAAATTTCCTCAATTCAAAATGATTTTTAATAAGTATCTACTAGACGGAAAAAAAATCAGCCTAATAATGCATGGAGTCTATTGGTTCGATTTTTACATGAGCCCATTTTGCAAATATCACACAGGAGTTTACTAAAAATGCATGGCTTTTGTGACTTTTGCCACAGCACCATGCGAAAATAGGATGGATTCCAAGCTAATCACGCATGGTAGTGTGCGTGCAATATACACAACAGACGCTCATGTGTTTTTAGCCTAGTATTTTTTTCCGTGTATTCTAATAAAATTTTCCAAAAGAATTCAATTATTTAAACAAAAATTTAGTAAAATTCTGCACAAACCGTTAATTATTTTTACAAAATAATAATAAAAATAACAGGAATTTCATTATTTACAAAGTTTTTTATAAATTTCTTCGCAATCATTCAATTATTTTCATAAATAATAAAATTTTTACAGGAATTCAATTATTTTGGTAAATAATAAAATTCTTATTAGGAATTGAATTCTTTTTATAAATTTGCAGAATTTCAATTATTTTTAATACAATTTGAATCGAATTCCTGGAAAAAAGTAATTATTCTTAAAAATTTTATTAAAATTCGTCAAAAGAATTCAATTATTTAAAAACTTGTTGATAAAATTCTTTATGAGAATTCAATTTAAAGAAACATTGAATTATTAACAATAAGTTATTAATTTTTGTATTTAAAAATTGAATATTAAAAGCATTATAGCATAGAATTTTTAGAAATAATTGAATTCTGAAAAGGTTTCAAATTAAAATATTTGAAAATCTGAATTTTTCATACTTTTAACTAACAATTCTGTGGGATTAATTTTTTTTGAGAAAGTTTAATTGCGGATTTTTTTATATTATTTCAAGTTTTTATTTTCTAATGTATATTTAATTGAAGATTTTGCAAATAATTGAAATTTCGTAAAATTGAATATTGAAAAAAATGTGTTTGAAAATTGTCAAAGAACTTTTTTGAAAACTATTAAAATAATCGATTTTAAGAAGAATTTTAGTTAAAAATAATAAATGACTTTATAATGATTTTATCACTCCGTCATTTTTAATTATTATAAAACATGAAGACTCTTTTCGTTATGAAAAATTTAATTTATAGTTTTAAGTAAAATGTTCTTTTATTTGACTTGGACATTTGCATTTGAAAAACAGTTTACCTTAAAAAATATGCATATTAAAGATTGATATTTTTAAAAGTTTAAAAATAGATTTTTGTGTCTTAGGTAGAAAAAATGTTAATTAATAAATTTTAGTAAATAAACAATTCTTTATAGCTTTAGGAAAGGAGTATTTGCACAAATTGTTTTAAAGGAAAAGAAACATTTCTTTGTCTATTTAATTTTGAAATAAATTGAAAAACTTTTCTCTTCTCATCAGGCAACAAAGCTTATGAATGCTACAAAACCAACGATTGTCACTGCAACTTCAGTACAACAAAAATTGGAAAATGCGACAAAACCAATTGGTTTCACCTCACCACTGGTGGATCAAATTAAAACTGAGAATGTTCAAGTTAATGGTCCATTGACTTCGCAAAGTCAAATTCCACCATCTTCATCATCGACGAATAATCAAGTTGTACAAAGATTTCAAACAATTCAATTGCCAGCGCAAAAGCAAAAGTTGCTGAAAAATATCCAAGCTGAAATACAAACAATTTTAGCACATAAGACAAATTCACAGTCGGACCAAATTATTCTCTCGAAACTTTATCAGGAGCAGGCGAAAATTCTTGCCAGTGGAAAAATCATCAGCAGTTCACCACATCCTGTTAGCTGCGTAAGTATTTTTTCCCTTTTTTTATAAATGAATTAAGTTATGTCTTTATTTTAATTACTTTAAAATTAATGCAAAAATATGGGAAAAGAAGGAATTTTGATTTATTTATTTACTATATAAAAATAATTGATTCTTTTTGTTTCCTAGGAATCTGAGGTAACAAACATTACATTTTCTGCATGTTCACTTACTCAAAGCACTTGCAAAAATCAGACTTCAACTGTTCAGACGCAAACACCTGCTGCCACAACAACCACAACGACAAACTCTGATAATGGAAATTTCAAATTTCAACCGTTGCAAAAAGTCGCTAGAATGTCAATTGATAACATGGAAGTCAACATGGTGAGTTTTTTATTATTTTAAATAATTCCTTCATAATAATAATAATAATAATAATTTTCCTTTTCCTTGGTTAATTTATTTCATTCAGTACTTGTTTTTGATAGGCTTTTTAAATTAATACATTTCAATAAAATAAAAACTAACAATAGTAAAAGTAATTCCTTAAACTACTTTAAATTTGAAAAATTTATTTAAACAAATGTTAAATTTATAAACTGTCATGAATTAATAATAAAAGGAATGATTGAATTATATTTTTGTAAACTTTTTTTAGCAATTTATGCAAAGACAACAAATTGGGCCTAGTGTTCCACCAACGAGCGTTCATCAAGTACACAATAAACATCAGAAATGTTACCAAAGTCACGATAATCAAACGTTAAGTCCGTCCACAATGACAGAACAAAGTTTATCGTCATCAAGCGGTACGACAAATCTAATGCAAAGCAGTACCAACCAAATTGTATCGCAAACACAAAATCAACAATCAACGCAATGTCAAACTGATCCATTGGATGTGAAGCCTAACATTCAAATACAAAGTCCAGTGAAACAAGAATTACCAACACTCAACCAAGTCCAGATACAAAATGGTTCAGCACCATGTCAAATAGTAACATCACCAAAAATTGTTTCAAAAGTATCGCAAAATATTTCAACTCCTGTAAATATTACTGGTAACAATGTTAAACAAATGGCAAGTCCCGGAAGCGCTTCGAATAATCTCACGTGTCAAAGGCATGGCGTTAAGAGACCTTCGTCCAGTCCCATTTGCAGGCCTAATAACAATCGTTGTGAATTGTAAGTATTAAATTATTATAATATTATGATAGAAAGTTGACTTTCATTTCGTAAATTTAATTTATTACAATGTAATTGTCATTTGTAGGATGGAACAACAATTAAAAATGGATCAAGGTGGTGCAACGAATCCCGATGTAGACACTCCTTTTGCGTGTAAGAGAGACGCTTGTAAGAGATTAGTGAGATATCATTGTTTTAATGACCAGGTGCTCAGTCCAAAAGATTTGGCAAAAGCTGACGAGATCTTTGAGGAAACTGCCAAACATTTACTAAGTAAATTTAACTCCATGATGAATAAATATACCTACCTTCTTCTTATGGAGAGCATGGTGAGTGAGCTCTATTTTACCTTTTTACTTTTTTACTTTCCCAAAAGTGGTTGCAAATAATTTAGTAATATTTAATATTTAACATTTCTTTTAGCGTGAAGTGAGGACTTCTGAATTAATGATGATCGATCGATCTTTCGTTGCCGAGGAGCAAAATCTTCTGAATAGGTTACGTGATCAAGAAGCAAAAGTCAGTGGTAAGTTGAAATAATATTTAGCTAATGAAATAATAAATCGAAAGCGAATAATTTACAAAATGTAATATCTATTTGCAGAAGAATTTAAGAAAGAAGAGAAGCTTCTGATACCAAAAGTCGAGACTGATATGAGTGACGTTGATAATCTAATTCCGACATTAGGTGGTGCATCTGTGAAATTAGAACTGGAAGACGACTTCCCCAATGTGGAGGGTCAAGCGAAAACTTCAACGAAGCCCTCAAGTTGCACAACTGGCGATTATGACGAATGGCTCGAAATTCAAAAGGAACTTGGCGTTTATACGCCCACAACTGAGTCCTCGAAATGTAAATACAATAATTTAGTGACCGCAAATGCGGGAAATTTAAGGCCAAAAGTTGAAAGAACGCGAGCGAATGGTGAATTTCGTGTTAGTGAAACAAGTGTCGCGAGTGGTTCTTCAAGTGTTGTGAGTACGTCGAAAGGCAACTATGATAATGCTGGTAATGTCACATCGACAACGAGACGCTTGAGTAGTGCCACTGAATTGGAACGTGATCTCTTAGAGGACACCGAGAGTCTCGATGGGCTTGCACTTTATTCACAATCACAATGTCCAGGCTCGCTTGATATTTCCGGCGAATCGGGAAATGCAAATGACAATGATGACATCACCGCTCAAGTTCAATCGGCCATAGACAGCATTCTTAATCTTAAGAAAAATCCTTCAACGGCAGTTCCAGGGAGCGCAAATCCTGCGCCGCAACCATCGGAATCGAAAGAGTCGATGCTTGATCAAGCCGTTCGTAGTATATTAGGCTCGTGACCCTCCTTCAATAAAGTTTGTTAAAAGACACTTAATAGCGAAATAATCAGTAAGCTGCGAATCTCTCTCTCTCTCTCTCTCTCTCTCTCCAGATTTTTTCTATAATTTTAAGTGCTTTTAGAGCACTTTTGGACTATTTGCATAATGAAAACTCTCTTAGTAAATTACAAATTTGCCAAGAGATGTAAAGTCTGCATACACTATTTTATGTTTCTTTTTACTTGTTTTTGAAAGGAAGGCTTGAAAAGTTTTATTTTATGTTCATTTCAATAACAATTTATCTGTCACTGGATCACATTGATCCTTCGTTTCCTGGGGACGTTCAAATATACCTTTTAATTAGATTTAGGAAATGTTCAATGAATTTTACACTAAGCATATCATGTGGTCGCGATTAACGATATTTTTTATGCATTCAAGTTCGATTCTCGATATTTAATGGAGAGTTTAAGGATCGTAATTTGAAACGACTGTAGTTTTACTTAGGTAATTTACGTTAATTTAATTCGAAAGTTAATTGTAACAAAAATTCCAAAATTATTTAATTCAAAAAATAGTTTATTTTCTTAATTATTTAATTCAAAAATACTTTAAATTGATTTATTATTTATTTCAAAAATATAATTTAATTTCACAATTATTTAATTAGAAAAAAATACAATTTACTTCAAAAGTATCTAATTTAATTATGATGTAATTTATTTTCTTATAATGTTATTTAAAATTAAAATTAGATATTTTAATATTAGGTGGCTTCTTTTTTTTATTTATTTTTTTTGTATATTTTGTTTCAATCCTGAAAGATTTCGTTTGACAATATAATGTTTGGATTTTTTCATGAATAAAATTTATTCGTTAAAAAAATGTCAAACTGGAAATATTATAAATATTTAATTAATATCTCATTGCAACAAACAGTACAAATTGTACAAAATATTTTTAACAAAAAATATCTTAAATTCATTGACGAAGAGGACGCGAAATGTTGAATTTTTGAACCGCATCGCTTTTATTTATAATTTAAAATAAACAATTCGCGTACTTTTTGAAATAAGAAATATACTTTACATCTCTAAGACGAAATTGTAATTTTTGGCGAGAGTCGACAGATATAGATGGCGAACACTTTCCATTTTTATCCTTTGTTTGAGATAATTGAAATTTTTTTCTTTTACACAATTGCGTTAATTATTTATTGTATACATTTTAACTGAAGGATGTTTGATTCATTACACCTCAATTTAAAACTAAATAACGGTTTTTAAAAATGTTAATTTAAAAATTATAATTATTAGTAATAATAATTAGTATTATTTTATTAATTATTTTGTACTTGACTTGTACCAGTGGTTGGATTTTAGCAAAAATTGTATATGAAAATGAGATTTCTTTTATTATTTTAATAAATAATTATTCTGTGTAGATCTGTTTTTAAAATAATGTATGAAAAAATAAAAAAATTACATTTATGTATATCACATAATTATACTGATGTCCAGCCACTGGGTCATTCTCCTTATGGTTTACAATTTTTTTTTAAATACTGAAATTTCCATGAAATCTATTTTGTTTTTCCATAATATTTATAAATCACTCTTTATTGCGAAATAATATTAATGATTCAAACATTCTTTGAGTAAATGAAATGAAGCCATTCTTGTTTTAAGAAAGAGGAATTGCAACTATCATGCATGTGAAGATGAGTAGTAAGCAATGACTATAAAAATTTTTTTATTAAAAAAAAGTATAGTAAAAGTAAAATATAAAATTTTAATGTAAAAAAGTGTAGTATTTGTTAGTTTTGCTTACTGCTAATCTCCTTAATTTGAAAAAATGGCAAATTATATATATATATATATATATATATATATATATATATATATATATATATATATATAACAGCCATAATTTTTATTCAGCAGCTGTTAATGTGATTATGTAGCTGATAACAGGCTCAGATATTTTAATCTACCAGTTTGTAATGTAATTTTGTAAAAAGAATCTATTTAAAATGAATCTTTCCAATTTAAAAGTATATAAGTAGTAGGTAAACAGTGATGACGCGAATTTTAAGAATACTTAAAAACAAAAATGGGTTGGTTAAAATTGTACATATGTTTTTAATGTGTATTATTATTACTATATATATTAATATTATTTTAATTTTAATACAAATATTGTTATTGAGATTCGCTCTCCGAATCATTTTAGAACTATTATCGACACTACCTGTACATTCTTTTTATCTTGTCGATTTTAGTGACTCGCGCTACAAGGAAAAAAAGAAAATGAAGCAAAAGTTAAGAAAAGAAACTAGAATATTGTAGTCACTTTGCTGAATTGGTAAATGTAGACGGAACTTTATCAAACAAAACTAGTCGCTAAATACGACTCATTCCGTTATTATAATTATTGTAATGTGAACGCTGTTTGAATTGAAACTGAAAATCAAATTGAATTTTATAAAAAAAAGTAGAGTCTAGTTTTAAAATGGTTTCAATGTCGCTTTAAATACACAAGCGTGACTGCACATTGCGTTTGAAAGAAGGATTTTTTCTCGCTACCATTTGTCTTTCTGCTTTTTTACTACAAAATGTGTGCGTCATTTCATTTAAAGCCAGTTTCTTATTTTTATATTTTTTATTACTTCTCTCATTTTTCTTTAACAAAATGTGAAAAAATATTCCTCGATTATAAGTTTTAAACAACCATGTTTTTAAATTATTCTCTTTTTTCTTCTCTTTAATCGTAATTGACGATTGAAATGGCTGTTAATTGTTTTCTTTTTGAAACATGAAAATATTTGTAGAGTAAGTTGTAGTGTGATTACAAAAGCATTTTTGCTCAAAAAATAAAAAAATTGTAGTTTTTATTTGTTCGTCTGCTGCTTTTGCTTTGTTGAAAGAAGGGAATTTTTTCTCCTTGAATCCTTTCTTCAAACGCTTGTGTATAAAAACATGAGCACAAATTTTACATTCTTGCGCACATATTCTCGTTGAGCCTCAGAGTGTACAGATTGTACAAAGGAAAATAAAAAAAAAAGTTTTGGTAAAAGCTATTCAAGACTGACATATATACTGATAATGGATGCAAAATATTTGATGTAATAAATTAACGAGTAATGTTCATTTGTACATAATATTTAATTATACTCTTGATGGCAAAAGTGACTTAATTTTTACAAAACTTTAATAATTACACACACCAGAGCTGTCCATCTGATGCTGCCAGTCTTGGCGAATGTAATAATAAAGGCAATGATTGTATATGAATAAATACTTGCTATATTTAATTGAAAAAATCCCGCTTACTAATAACCAGAGTAAAAGTAGTAATAATTAATTAATCAGTGAGAATTAAAAAAACTCTAGGTTTTCAGATGGACAATTCTCTTATGTTATAATTTTTTGCGCTACTTTTATTCAGTTTTAAAGTATACTTTCCCTTTTTAATTTAAATTTAATGTTTTCAATGAAAAAATAGCTATTTTTTTTAAGAAAGGTGAGAATAAATAAGCATCAAGTATAATTCGATCGTTTATTGATGACGATCATTGTATTTACATTGCGACAGATATTCGTACATCACAGGCTCCTTAATGTCGTTTCTAAATTTTAAAAGATTTATTTAACAATATGCGGAATTGTACAGACAGAACTAACAACTGTCGCATGTGCAATTACCATTATCACCTTCCTGATTTGTGGGCAGTATTAACAGTATTTACGGGAGAGTGAGTAAAATTATTTTTTTATACATAAAAAATCAAGTTAATTAAAAAAATACAGGAGCTGAGTTTTTTCTTTCGCAAAAACAGCGTTCTTTCAGGAAGGGAATTTTTAAAATTCGTCTAGTTTCTTCCTAGCTTCATCGACTGACAAAGCAATTAATTTTGATCGGGAGAAATTAAGCTAGACCTCTCTTCTTCTTCAATGATTCGGGCATCTCTGGTGGAGGTGGACGCGGCATGCGAAGCCATACCTTCACTGCGTCATAAATAAACCATTGAGCTGCTGTTAAGGTACCAATCATGATGATTCTGGGTCCAAGCCCCTTCCAAACGCCGCCAAATCCAAGCTTCTTCAAAACGTCTCCTGCTGTAGCGCCTTTCTCCTGGTTCAACTTGGAAACCACCTTTAAAGAACATTAACATTATTTTTTTATGACAATGACAATGAAAAGCTTTTGCTTTATTTTGCACTTTTTTTGTGTGTGCGTGACTTACAGTGTCAGCGGGATGCGAAACAACAGCACAGAAAACACCGGCGATGTATCCGGCAGTAAAGGTGACGATAAGTTGTTCGCCTTTAGTGCATTCCGCTCGTGGTTTAGGCACAACGTTACTGTAGAGAAGTTCTACTGTTCGTTCGAAGCAGCCAAACTTCATCATGGTGTACGGAATTTGACGGAGCCACAATGGAACGAGACCTTTGTAGAAGCTACTCAAACCTTCCTCAGACATCATTTTCGGGAACGCTTCACGCAAATTGTTGGCATAGCCAGGCATTGTTTGAATTCTCACCTAAGCGAGAAAAACATTAATCCAATCTTAAAAATGATCAAGTAGAAATGAGTGAAGATGAATTTTCGAAAAATCTACCTTGGCAGCTTCGAAAGGTGCGAGACCAATGTCGGCGAAAAACTCTGCCGATGCAGATGAAACTAAATATAATGTTGTTCGATAATCGTATGCTAATTCTTCTCCAGCGATTTCTGAATAATACACTTTGAAAACTTCATAGAGACCAAATTTAAACAATCCTTGAACGGAGTAACCAAAGAAGGTAGGGGCCCAACCTCTGCCCAATCCTCGAACTCCATCTTCGGCTAACGTTACCTGAAAAATATACAGTATATTCACTGTGAATGCACAGGAAATTACGGAATTTATCTGTAGGAATATGCAAACCTACTTTGAAACCATTGAAGACAGATTTATATTTTGCTGGGTCAACTTGGATTCGGCATTTGACTAAATCCAGGGGAGTAATCATGGTGTGCGTTATGCCGCAAGACAAAATTCCACCAAGACCACATAACGCAAAATAATGATTCGAACCGAATTCGCAACTATCTGTAAGGAAAAGAACATTTTTACTTATTTACAGCAATTGACTTTGCTTCCTCTATGTGAATTACAAAATGTTATTGTTTTCTTTCATGAACATAAATAAATTTAGTGTCATTCAAGTTTTGTTGACGATCGACGGTTTGACCATGTACTTTATTTCATTTTGGCGCAAGTTCAAGATTCGTTAAAGAACATGACATGACCTTGGTCTCGATTAACAATTGCGTCACGCAAAAATTCTATCTCTAGTTCCTTCACCTTCACCTTCAACTAATCTATTTTTACTGCAGAAAAATGTCTTCCGTGACCTTAGACTTTGATTAAGGGTTCAAGGTATTCAACCTTGACATTAAATTTACTTTAAATTTAAGTTTCAGTAATTGAAACCACAGAATTAGCCGAATTAGCGAAATTTTGAAAAGAGGAAATCACGTAAAAATCTTTTATTCAAGATGGCAGCCATTATGCAACTATTGTCACATTGTTACTCCACTGACCCAATATTTCGACAATTTTATTAACAGCAAAAAACACAAATTATAAATTTTGATCAAATTTGCACAAGGCGGCATACAAAATATTTCAATTATTAGAAAATTCTAAGAAAGTAAATAAGTAAATCGTTAATTGTAAGATAGAAGTAAGCATCAATATTATTTCCGGTTTTGAGTTCTAATATTTCAAATTATATAATTATAGCAGATAAAAGAAGCCTTATATAGTTTGACCTTGAAAATTATCAAATTATTCACATTATTAAAATTATTTGAGTGAAATAGATAGAGGCACACTTAGAAAATTAGGAACCCTAATCTGCAAACATGAAAAAAGTAACAAAGTAAATAGAATCTTTTTGTAATTTAATTAACAATAAACTTACCAGCAGGTTCAGCGTTGGCTGCAGCAATTACTCGATTTTGAACTAATCCTTGGCAATCCTCGTTTGATCCTTGAGCCCTTAGGCCTGCCATGGACGTGCTGAAGGGTGTCATTTTTGAAGATTCAAATAATGATGGAGACATTTTGACTTCCACTTTCCCACCTGGCTGTTATTGAGTGACTGTCGCTGTCAATCTATCGGGTTTTAATACTAACTTTTAATTAACTTAATTGGTAAAATTTATTGCTTGAGTGTCCAAATGACACTGCTTCGTTCTACGTGTACAGCCCGTGGGAAAAGGGTAGAAGAGAAAACCACAGAGTATGTAAAAATCTATAGAGTGACAGACTTGCTCGGTAGATAAGCCAAGTCGCATTTATATGTAAATCACGTATATCAACGTAACTGTAATAACACCACTATGTGCACGACCCTGTTACAACTACGAGAGTAAAAACACAACTTTTGCAAACAAATTTTATTTATCCTTTCATTTAGATTTATACGTAAAGAATAGATTCTCATATTTTATCAATTCTACACAACAATAGACTTTTTACAATATTTTATAATTCATTTGTTTCGTGAGAAACTGTTTTTTAAACATTTCTGAACTTATTTGAACTGTATTGTACAATTCTCACTTCCTGGACGCTGAGAACGGCAACGACGACAACCACGGCAACCAACGGCAACAGCGCCGCACCGCAAGGGAGAATGAAATATTGTCATTCAGTCATTTCCGGATTAACCACAGCAGAGAGAACAAGTCTTTTCTGTTGAACCGGCTTTATTTTCTACAGGATTGGAAAATCCATGTACATCCAAACAATTGTCGACCATGCTTTCCTGAAAGAAGGTAAATATTTTCTCTCTCAATATTTCCGAACGCGTTTTGTCAAAAGTTTTTCAATTACTTTTCGAAAATGGCTTCAAGAAAAAATTGTAATTTTCCACTTCTACTTATCTCTTGACACGTCATTCAATTGAATAATAACGGAGTAATAATTATATTTAGTTTCTGAAAACTGAGTTATTTTAATTACCTTTTTATTTTTCAAGTTCTGATTAACAATTCGTGAATTTTGTCTTTGATTTAACGACATCTATAAAGCGAGTTCGGCGCGGCGTCAAGCAATGTGAAATAAAGTAGTTCAAGTCAACGTAACTCCAACTTTTTCTGATTCCAGCATGATCAGCCAAGAAGGCGTGAGAAGTTGAAATAAATACTTTGCTGAAAAGCGTTCTGCAAACATGTATCTTTACAATTTGACGCTCCAACGTGCCACTGGCATTACACACGCCGTCCATGGCAATTTCTCCGGCAGTAAAATGCAGGAAATTCTTGTTTCGCGAGGGAAATCCCTCGAATTGTTGCGGCCGGATCCGAACACAGGAAAAGTGCACACCCTACTAACTGTCGAAGTTTTTGGTATTATAAGGTCATTGATGGCTTTTAGGCTGACAGGCGGAACCAAAGATTACATTGTCGTTGGCACCGATTCAGGACGAATTGTTATCCTCGAGTATAATCCTGTGAAAAATTCGTTTACAAAAGTACATCAGGAGACATTTGGAAAAAGTGGCTGTCGAAGAATTGTTCCCGGTCAATATTTAGCCATTGATCCAAAAGGACGTGCTGTTATGATTGGTAAGTGGTATCAAAATGAAGTGCAAGCATATGCCAGTCACTGCTCTGTAGTGTTGAATGATTAAATTATCATGTCCGTGTTTCAACTGATATATATATATATATATATATATATTTTTTTTTTTTTGATTATTACTTTGATAATGATTACCCTTGAAATTTGATTCCAATAAATTGTACAGAAAGAGCAGAAATAAATACGGAATAACTGATTTTTTAGGTGCAATTGAGAAGCAGAAATTGGTGTATATTTTGAACAGAGATCCTGAAGCACGACTGACAATTTCCTCCCCATTGGAGGCACACAAAAGTAACACTTTGGTTTATCACACCGTTGGTGTTGATGTTGGTTTCGAAAATCCCATGTTCGCTTGCCTGGAAATCGATTACGAGGTAAGTTTTTAAAATTTACTTGGTTTCAAGATTTTCATTTTTGGGTGTTTAATGATTAAACTATCATGTCCGTGTTTCAACTGAATCACTGATTATAAACTCTTGATAATGATGATTAGAAATGATAAAAAACTGCCTCTCATTTACAAGACTATATTTATTAAAAGTGATGGTTTTATTTTCAGGAAGCTGATAGTGATCCAACTGGTGATGCAGCCGTGAGAACGCAACAAACATTAACTTTATATGAACTCGATTTAGGCTTGAATCATGTTGTTCGAAAGTATTCTGAACCTCTCGAGGAACATGCCAATTTCCTCGTCTCTGTACCTGGTGGGAATGATGGCCCTAGTGGAGTACTTATTTGTTCGGAAAATTATTTAACATATAAAAATCTTGGCGATCAACACGATATTCGTTGTCCAATTCCAAGGCGACGAAATGATTTGGACGATCCTGAGAGGGGAATGATCTTCGTCTGTTCGGCAACGCATAAAACAAAAAGCATGTTTTTCTTTTTGGCACAAACTGAGCAGGGGGATATTTTCAAAATTACTTTAGAGACTGACGAGGATATGGTTACTGAAATAAAACTCAAATATTTTGATACCGTTCCTGTTGCTTCCAGTATGTGTGTACTTAAAACTGGTTTCTTATTTGTCGCTTCTGAATTTGGCAATCAGTAAGTACTTTTATGTTTGATAATTGCAATTTTTTTTAATTGTAAAAATATTTCACTATTGAAATATTTGTTTTTAGTTACTTGTATCAAATTGCGCATCTTGGCGACGACGATGATGAGCCAGAATTCAGTTCCGCAATGCCTTTGGAAGAGGGAGACACGTTTTTCTTTGCACCAAGACCTTTGAGAAATTTGGTACTTGTCGACGAAATGGATAGTTTGTCGCCTATTATGGCCTGTCAGGTAATTTATTAAAAAAGTCAAGGTTCATTTTATAGAAATCGAGGCATTATCAAGTAGAGGATTGACTTATTCAATGGTCAATTCTCTGTGAAATGATGCAAGATCAAATGCTCTTTGTCGCCTTCGTCTTGTTTTTGCACGCCGAAGTGAATCAAAGATCTACAAGTTTATGAATTTAAAAAATAATGGAATAAAATAAATTGCTTTTCCAATTAGGTGGCTGATCTTGCGAACGAAGATACTCCTCAATTGTACATAGCTTGTGGAAGGGGTCCACGATCAACACTAAGAGTTTTACGACATGGGCTCGAAGTGTCTGAGATGGCTGTCAGTGAACTTCCCGGAAATCCTAATGCTGTTTGGACAGTGAAGCGACGTATAGACGGTTAGTTAATTTCATATTTTGAGTACCAGGGTATAAATAATTCAAATAGGTTTTCACTCAGGCCGTAGAGCAATTTTTTCAAGTATTTCTCAATTTTTAAACAAGAAATAAGTAGATTTTTTAATTAACTATAATTTTTAGTTTACATTTTTTTTTATTTTATCAAGCGTAGAAAAATTAATATCTTTCTGAAAAAAGATATTAATAAACCTGGTGGATTGATACACTCTTATCAAACACCAGTTCTCTCTTTCAGGATGTCTGCAGGCTTTTGGTTGACCAAGACAATGATGATTGACTGAAAGGTAAGAAGAAATTCAAAATTGTCCCGCACAATGAAGGGATAATTTTTTACCAGATTTGAAGAATCAAGGAATTAAGATCAGCAAACTTTATCCTTTTTTCATTCAAGATTTTTTCATTTTTTTGCAATTATTTCTTTTTTTTAAATGTAATTTTTTAAAATGAAATAACGTTAAGTGTTAGGCCCTTAAAATTTCAGTTGGAGATTGAGGCATTTTTTTATTCATTGTATAATCTAGACAAGGCGTTTGATTTCGGTTTCAGAGGAATATGATGCATACATCATTGTGTCGTTCGTAAATGCAACTTTGGTACTTAGTATTGGAGAGACTGTCGAAGAAGTAACAGATTCTGGTTTTCTGGGCACAACACCAACATTAAGTTGTTTTGCTTTAGGAGAAGATGCTCTAGTGCAGGTAAGAAAATTGATGAAAAGAAATTGTTTTTTCTCCTCTCAAGCACTTGGTATCTCCGGCACCTGGTTCACCACGTGACGGTCGCAATAAAGTGCAAGAATAATGTTTGGCTTTTGCATCGTTGGAACACTTATGATTTTAATCTCAAAGTATTCCTGGTTTCTCGGCCTCGACAATATTTTAAAAATTTAATTAATTAGAAATCAGACTTGATATTGGTTAAGTAGCTCATTTATTATTTTAGGTTTATCCCGATGGTATTCGTCACATACGCTCAGATAAGCGTGTCGATGAATGGAAAGCTCCGGGAAAGAAGACAATAGTTAAATGTGCAGTTAATCAACGACAAGTTGTAATTGCTCTCACTGGAGGTGAATTGGTTTATTTCGAATTGAACGCTGTGAGTTAATTTGTACAACTAATTTTATTTCAATATGTACGCATAAATTGGAATAGGATATATTAAGAGAAAATGTTATTTTTAATCTTGTGTGATAAAACATCATTTTTATTGCACAATTTTAAAAAGTACAGGGTGACCACATGTCAGGGAAGTGTCAGGACTTTTTTCGACTTATTTTCAAAAATTACGACTTTTTCGACTTTTCTTCCAAACATTGCAACAAAATACCCCATTTTTTAGTAAAAAAAGTTCAACTTATTTTGATTTTTACATATAATGCGAAAAATAACTAATCAAATCTTTCAAAAGTTGTTCTTGAATCACTTTTTAACATAATTAAATTTTTCAAATATATCTATAATAAAAATCTTGAAATAGTTGAAATTTTGTAAAAATTTAATTTTTTTTTAATTTTTTAATTAAAATTCATCAAAAAATTAATTACTCTTTTTAAATTATACAAAAATTCTTTTAAGAAATTCAATCATTTTCGAAAAACTACATTAAAATATTTTAAAAACTAATTCTTAGAATTGTTTTATTATAATTTTTTAAGATTAAATTATCTGTAAATAAAAGTTTATGAAAATTTACTTTTTGGACTTATATTAAAATTTTTGAGAAATCATGGTCCTGTTTATAATTAAAATTCTTCAAAAATTTTATCATTTTTATTTATATTTTTCAAAAATTCAATTATGAATTAATTTTTCAAAATTGGAAAACTATTATCTGTAAAAAATTATTTAAAAATATTTGTAAAAAATTAATTGTAAGAATTTCTTTATAATTTTTTGAATATATTATACCTTATTAACTTCAGAAAAACCTATGAAGATTATAATTATAATAATTAATTGATTCAGAGATGAAGTTTAGTTGAAAATTGTAGATAATAATTGAATTCAGGAAGGGTTATAATTGTAATTATTTGTAGAAATTATTAAAATTCATCAATTTTACTCATTTTCTGTAAACATTCATATTTTCCTGTAAAAAGAATTTTGTCAGGGAAATTGATAAACTGAAACTTGTGACCACCCTGTAAGTACTTTCAATAAAAAAAATAGTACACTTTTTTTGCTGAATGAGAAATTTGATTTAAACGAGTATTCCGCACAATGTTCTCTTTGCGAGTTTATTTTATTCACAGAGATGTAAAATGTGCGGAGAATACATTGCTCCTATTGTAGTTTCCTAATTGTTCGTAATCTGGAAATAAGCATGAAAAACAGCAAACATGTTTTTAAAATATTAAAATATAAATTTGAATTGAAATGTTAAATGGCATTTCTTTGATCGCAGACTGGTCAATTGAACGAGTACACGGAAAGGAAGAAAATGCCCTCCGAGGTAATGTGCATGGGATTGGGTAATGTGCCATATGGTGAACAACGATTTCCATATCTCGCGGTTGGTCTTCAAGATAACACAGTGAGAATAATGTCCCTCGACTCGAAAGACTGTCTCTCGCCGCGGAGCATGCAGGCACTGCCAGCGGCTGCCGAAAGTCTGTGTATCGTTGAAATGGGTTTGAAGGACGCCGACGGTTCGGACGATGCTCGACCAAAGCAATCGAGCTTCTACCTGAACATTGGTCTGCAAAATGGAGTGTTGTTGAGAACCGTGTTGGACCCAATATCCGGTGATTTGGCAGATACACGCACGAGATATTTAGGTTCGCGCGCAGTAAAACTCTTTAGAATTCGAATGCAGGGCAATGAAGCCGTACTAGCAATGAGTAGCCGTTCGTGGTTGAGTTACTATTACCAAAATCGTTTCCATTTGACGCCACTGTCTTATGAAAGTCTGGAATTTGCCTCCGGCTTTAGCTCTGAACAATGTCCTGAGGGTATTGTCGCCATTTCAACCAATACCTTGAGAATTTTAGCACTCGAAAAACTCGGTGCCGTATTTAATCAAGTGAGTTTTCCGTTGGAATATACGCCGAGGAAATTTACAATTCATAATGATTCGGCACATTTATTGGTACTTGAGACGGAGCATAATGCTTACACTGAGGAGACAAAGCATCAGCGACGATTGCAAATGGCTGAAGAGATGCAGGAAGCAGCAGGCGCTGAAGAAGCTGCAGTTGCACGGGAATTAGCCGAAGCGTTTCTCACCGAGGAATCGAATGAAGCCGTTTTTGGAGCGCCAAGAGCTGGACCTGGACTGTGGGCTTCTTCGATTCGAATTATTAAACCAACAACTGGGAAGACTCTGGAAAAATACGAACTGAAACAGAATTTAGCAGCTTTAAGGTAATTTTCCCACAAGAGAATTTTTTGAATTTATTGAATTTATTGAAAGAAGTAACTAAATTTGTGTTTCTTAATGTTTTTGTTTTTTTTTTAATTTTCCAGTTTAGCAATGGTGAAATTCGCAAATCAAGGAAATCAACAATTTTTGATTGTCGGCGTGGCCAAAGATTATCAGCTCAATCCTAGAATTAGTAACGGTGGTTATCTCTATACATACAAGTAGGTTTAAGATTTTTTAGAGACTTTTAAAGACTTTTAAAGACTCTTGTCTAATATTGTAAATCTAATGATGACAATATCACACTATCTGATTATTGATGATATCCCTGCAGTTCTGACCACATTTATTTGAATATTAGAAAAGCGTACAAGAAATAAGTTTTCAGAGTGTAAAAATAACATGTCTTTTCCGTTCTTACAGGATAACGGAAAATTGTATGAAATTAGAATTGTTGCATGAGACAGTTGTCGATGAGATTCCACTCGCTATTTGCCCCTATCAAGGCCGTGTTTTGGTTGGCGTTGGCAGGATGCTTCGATTATATGACATGGGAAAGAAGAAGTTATTACGAAAATGTGAAAATAAACACATCCCCAATGCAATTGTCAGTATCAACGCCGTTGGCCATCGCATTTACGTGAGCGACGTTCAGGAATCTGTTTACGCTGTAAGATACAAGCGGCAAGAGAATCAACTGATTGTGTTTGCCGATGACACTCACCCTCGATGGATCACAACGACTTGCGTTTTAGATTACGACACAGTTGCTACTGCTGATAAATTTGGAAACATTGCTGTGGTGAGTTACTTTTGAATTGAAAATCATTTGAAAATCATTTGAAAATAACTAATTCAATAAATGTTTTAATAATAGATAAGATTGGCAACGGGAGTAAATGACGACGTGGATGAAGATCCGACCGGAAATAAAGCATTATGGGATCGAGGGCTATTGAATGGAGCGAGTCAAAAGGCAGAAACAGTTGCTTGCTTTCACATCGGCGAAACAGTGATGTGCTTGCAAAAGGCAACTCTCATACCTGGCGGTTCAGAGAGTTTAGTTTACACAACTCTAAGTGGGACTGTAGGCGTTCTTGTGCCATTCACAAGCAATGAGGATCACGATTTCTTCCAGAGCTTAGAGATGCACATGCGCTCCGAACATCCACCACTTTGCGGTCGTGATCATCTCTCCTTCAGATCGTACTATTATCCCGTGAAAAATGTCATTGATGGTGATTTATGCGAGCAATTCAACTCAATTGAGCCTACAATTCAAAAAAGTATTGCCGGCGATTTAGACAAAACATCGTCTGAAGTGTCCAAGAGATTGGAAGATATTCGAACGCGTTACGCCTTCTAAAGTTATAAAGACTTTTGTTTATGATCTCTACAGTATTTTTTACTTTTCATTTTTAATACTAGGAGAATTCTGTTTGGATTAGAAACTGATAAGGTAAACAAAAACTATTTATGTATTTGCAAGTTCAAAAAAACTTTTTTTGAAGTTAATTTTTGTTTTTTAAATTACGATTAGATTATAATTTGTTTTCGTTAAAGTGTTGAACGAAATAGACAAATACAAGGTTCAAAATTAATGTATTGAATTGTTAAGAATTTTTTATCCTTTTTGTCAATATTAAGATGAGATTTTTAATGTCATAGATATTTTTAATTAAAGATGAATTGTGTGATTTAAAGGGATAAAAAGTTTTTCTCTGTGAGAGATGAAATAGTTGACGACCATTTTATAAAGTCAGTTTTAAACTTTTGTGTGCTTTCATTATAAAAGAAAAAACAACTAGGATAATAAAACTTGAATAGCTTTAATAGTAATAAAATTTCGTATTCATATTTTAACTCGAAATTACCTGTTCTTGAATTTAAAAATAAAGTTACATTTTATTTTGGAGAAAAAATCTGGTAAACTTTACGAATTTCGCAATTTTTCAAATACGTATTATCGATATTTTTCTAACTTTATACGATAGTTTTAAAAGTTAGAAAGAAACTTTCGATTGAAAAATTTGCAACTTTATTCAATCAACTAAACTTTTATGAATGGAATTTAAATTTCTCCCTTTTTTTCTTTATACAGCTTCAGTATCAGTTTTGTTAGAAAAAAAAACATTCGCGCTTCTAGTGAAAGTTTTTCGAACCTTTGTAAAAAAGTATTTGGTCCAATAATGAATTTTTAGTGTATTTTATCTACTATATATATTTATAGGATTTCAAACTGAGATTTGCTAAAATCTTTGTTTTTCGGAGATAGTCATAAATATCCCTATTATTATGAGAACATTTTTTTATATTTACTAAAGTATAAACTTTCTTATCTTATTTTATTTTGAATATTTTGCTTTTTACATTAAATTTTTCTTTATTATTTTTTAATATTCAAAATAAATGGAGACTTAAAAGGTTTCGTTTTCTAAATTCCTAACTTGAATTATTATTTTAAACTTTTTCAGTAACAATTTATTTTACCATCAATTTTGATAATTATAAACTAGCAAAAAAAAAAAAAAACTAAACAAAACAAACTAAACACACTAGCAAATTTTACGCGCGCCAGCACTTGACACGCGGTGTTCCATTTCTTATTATTATGCAAATTAAAAAATATTTCATTTTCAAATATTAATTTCAAGTTTTAAATAATTCAGATTTAAAATTTAATTATTAATTAATTATTATCCTATTATTTACTGTTTTCAAAAACTTTAATAAAATTCTTCGCAGGAAAAAATGAAAAAATTATTTATGAGAATTGAATTATTTTCTTGAAAGAATTTATATATATTTGAAAATATTGTAATAACATTTCTCGAAAATATTCAATTATTTAAAATGATATTAATAGGGAGTTTGCACCAAAAAAATTTTTTATATATTAGCGTTGAAAGATTTTTTTTTTTTAAGTTTACACATGAAAAGATTAAATTGAAATTGTAAAATTTTTGAAAATATCCATGCTGAAAGAAAACGATTTTTATTGGTTACTGAAACCTGACGTCACAAGTGCCTATTCTTGCGTCTTCTGCTGCATGATCCATGCATAATCTTTGTTTACACTGTAAAAAAAGCCATGGTGATTTTACTATGTCCGACGTTGGAAATATGTAAGTTACACCACGTCTTATATGGTAACTTTACTATATAATCAATGGTAATATAAAGGTTATGTTATATTACCATTGATTACAAAGTAAAGTTACCATATAAGACGTGGTGTAACTTATTTCCAACGTCGGACATAGTAAAATCACCATGGCTTTTTTTACAGTCAGGGTTGCCACAGGTCAGTGAAGTCAGGGAAAAGTCAGGGATTTTTGTTAAAAGTACTGGAAAAAATAGAATTTTTAAAATTCATGAGAAAATTCTGAATTTTTATGCTTTTTTTTGTTTGCCTCTTAAACTATGAAATTACCACAAATTTTAATACAAAACCTTCAATTTTTTCTATTTCTGGCAATAATTTCATTTTAAATAACTTAATTCTTGGAGATCTATCATAAAATTATTATTTATAAATTATTTAATGAATCATTTTTACAATTTTCATAAATACTAGATTAATAGACGAATTTTAGTTAAAAATACAAAAAAAATTTGAATTTTGGAAAAGTTACAAATGATTTCAGAAATTCAATTATTTTCAAAAGTTATAAAAATTCTTCACAAAATTTCAATTATGTTAAAAAATTTTTTAAACATTCTGGTCAAAATTTCAATTATCTTTATAAATAATAAAATTATCCTAAAAATTTAAATATTTTTAAAAATTTTAATAAAATTCTTGGCAAAATTTCACAGGAATTCAATCATTTACAGAATTTTCATAAAATTCTTCGAAATAATTCAATTATTTTTATAGGTAATAAAATTTTTATAGAAATTCAATTATTTAAAAATTAACTATAATAATCGTCGTATTCTGTCCAGTCTGTCCACACTTGAAGTTAGACTATTGTGCATGCTTTTGTTTTTTTGATATATTCTGATAGATAATATACGTCATTATTTTTTCACTAATTTTTTAATTTAATAATATTATTTTTCTTTCTCAAATAATTCAAAAATATTTTTATTAATTTAAAAAAATTATTAATGTTATTATATTATTCATTATTTCCTTTGTTTCTAAAAAATAAATCTTGCAAAATATTTTCTTTTTTTTATATGAAAAACTTAATTACTTGACAAAATTTTGACTTCTTCCCTAACCCTAAAGAAAATTCTGATACACTCTAAAAATGATTAGACTGTTACGTCAAAAATAACGAGAAACCTTTTTAAATATACCTAACGTTCCTCGTTTTAAATTGGTTTCATAAATGAATCCAATTTGGGATGAGGATAAGTCAATGAGCCTACTAAATGTGAGAGAATAATTTATTTAAAAACCAACAAGAAAGAAAAGAGTTGACAAAATTACAATGAGTACAAAAATTATGAATCTTACTTAAAGAATAACGATTACTGGTGGTGTGATGATAATCTGTTGTCCGATCTCAATGGTGATGAGCGGTAGACGAAAAGGGGCCTTTTGTTTGTTGTCCTCAGTGGTTGGGTATTAGACCTCTTGTTTACACTAATGAGATAGTGTATTGTATTGTTAAAATATCTGGTTCCTCCCAGACGGTTGTCGCCTCTTGAGCAAATTTCGATAGTTCGAAATTTGGAATGTGTTGTTTCAATATTAGGTATTCGTTGATGGATGAGATTATTTCCAATTTAATATTTTTGGAAATTGTTTAAAATTTATATTTTGCAAATTGGTATAATTGCAAACGTTTGAATTAAAGTTCACTTCAAATTTAACACTTGGGGATATAATGTTCAGTTTCGAACAATGGACTTTGAAAAGAATATTTGGAGATATACTGTTCACTTTGAAAGATATACTTGATTTCGCTTTTAAATTATATGATGTTCTGATGTTGACTGAGCGATGTGTACTGGTTGATTCCCAAAAAATTACTCTCTGTCTCTTGTACTGAACGATGTGTTCAGGTTGATTTCTAAATAGTTACTCTCTGGTCTCTTGTTCTGAACGATGTGTTCAGGTTGATTTCTAAATAGTTACTCTCTGTCTCTTGTACTGAACGATGTGTTCAGGTTGATTTCTAAATAGTTACTCTCTGTCTCTTGTACTGAACGATGTGTTCAGGTTGATTTCTAAATAGTTACTCTCTGCTCTGAATGGAAAGGGTTCCCCTTTTTATATCGAATCTTCTTCATTAATTTGATGCTAATTGAGTCTTTGGGTCTGTTGTGGTGTGGCAGAGCCATTGGCTTTGGGAAACGTGGCATGCCTTCTCACTCGACGTTTGTTGCGTTTCCGTACTTTGTTGTTTTCTATCCTCCCACGTGTTGAAGGCTGTCTTTGGGTCTGTTGCAGTGTGGCAGAGCCATTGCCTTTGGGTCTGTTGCAGTGTGGCATAGCCATTTGCCTTTGGGAACGTGGCATGCCTTCTTACTCGACATTTGTTGCGTTTCCGTACTTTGCTGTTTTCTATCCTCCTACGTGTTGAAGGTTGTCTTTGATTATTCACCTTCTTCCACATAGCAGGTTATCTAATCGATGCACGATCGTTATTCTTTTTACATGGTTCAAAATATTACTCATCTTTCTTGAATTCATTATACTTGCAAATTGTTTAGATACAAATGAGATATATAAAATATGCTAATTATAATGCAATGGTATGAAATACATAGAATAATAATATAACATATAAGAAAAATACAATATAAAAAATAGGAAATACATTCATAAGTATCGAAGTTAAATTAGGTATATTAACAAGAAGTTACGGACGTAACAAGACACTCAAAAAATGTTCTATTACATTTATTTACCAATTTCTGAAATTATTTAAAAAACACATCAATAACTTCTTTTCTAAATAAATTTTAATCATTATTATTTTCTCACAGGAATAAATTATTTTTAATAATTTTTGAAAAAAGTTCTTTGAGAATTTTAAAATCCATTTGTTTACAAATCAATTTTACGAAATTTAAATTATTCAGAAATTCTTCAATTAAATACGAATTAAAAAATAAACACTTCAAATAATTTCAGGATAAAATTCAATTAAACTTTTTTAATATAATTAATTCTACAGAATTGTTAGTTATAAGTATGAAAAATGCAAATTTTTAAAGAATTTGATTTGAAACCATTTTAAAATTTAATTATTTCTTAAAATTCATGCTATAATGCTTTTAATAATCAATTATTATGTAAAACTTCAACTGAAATTCATTTTGAAATAAATTTTTATTAGATAATTCAATAATTTAAATGCAAAAATAAATAATTTATTTAATATTTAAAATTTCTTAAAATTAAAGTCTCATAAAGAATTTTATCAAAACATTTTTAAATCATTGATTTCTTTTAACGATTTTTCATAAAATTTTTAAGAACAATTACATTTTTCGATGACTTTGATTAAAATTGTATTAAAAATAATTTAAACTCTGCCATGAGTTTTATTTATGAAAATAATTGTATTCCTAAAAGAAATTTTATTATTTGGGTGATTCTACAAACGAAGGAGGAAAATCAAGAAAATTTGGACACAACATTTTTTTCTCATTTAAGGTCTGAAAAGTATTTTAACTTCAAGTTAATGGTACTAATAAAGACATCCATAAGTGGCCAGACAAAATATTAAATTTTACAAAAGTTATGGTTATTTATAAACAATTTATCCAGAGAATTAAAATCGTGTCAAGAAAATTCACATTAACATAAAAATTAATGAATGGAATTTTATAAAATTGGTTACTCGGGGGTTTACGGGGTTGCTGATTAAGAATCCAATGT